GAATTCCATCAAAATAGGACATGTTGAAATGCGAACAACAAATTTCATACGAAATGCTTCTTTCCCATATTTACTTCGTCCTTGTAATGCTCGTCGAAGAAATTCTTTGTCCATACCTCTAATATTTTTGTCAGCATAAACTCTATATGAATGTTGCCAATCAAGAATTTCTTGCAAGATCATTGCAAATGACTTAGGGGCAGTCTCGCTGGGAAAATGAATTAGAGACCTCGGATTCATTGAATAAGGCGATCTGTGTAAGTGAAATGCTTTGACACCATGCACGATATATTGTCCGTGAATATTTTGAAAACCGAATGTTCGTGAAAGAAATGTTTCCATTTGCGTAGTTTCAACGTCGCAGCGACCACTCATTGATCCATATTTATCCATTGGAGGAAGAGATATCAGATGTTTGAATAGCTGTGATATTTTTGAATCAGTGGAATGATTAAGACCAAACATATTAACTGGATTTGAGAACAACTTTGATGATGTGTCTGCGGCCATGTGGGAAGAAAGTTTTGACATGTTTGGGAGATAATGATTGTTTATTGATGAGCCATCGAAGGCGGTGTTTCCTATTGGTGTTCTCTCAGATGTATCTAATATTCTCGATAAAGATGTCGCAGTTTCTTTTGAATGTATCGGTTCTTTTTCGATTTTGATCAGATCAAGAGATGAACAATCAGTAGAAACTATGTTAATTTCGTTTAATGCAGCCCATTCCTTATTGCAAACTCTAAGTAGGTTTCCGAGTCGTTCGATATCAAAATGTGTAAATTGATTCGGTTTTGATTTCAAGCGAAGTTCATTCGAGAGTTGCTGTAGTGAAGTGGTGACTTGATTATTCAATTCTTTTGTTAAACGTTGTATTTCAGTTTGAACTGTTTTAGCTGCTGACTCAATATCTGCAATAGATTTTTTTCTCCATCGATCAATGTCATTTAACAACTTTTTCTCAATATCTTGTCGATCATAACTTTGTTTGATATTGTCATACTGTTTTTTGATATCGTTCAATTGACGTAAAAATTGCTGGTGACTATGAACTAGAAAATTCGCGCAAATTCAAGATGACATTGATCACTTACGTTATTTATAAAATAAAAATTAATACTTACTGCTCTTCGTACTCATGGTCATACAGTTTGTAAATTTTGACACACTAATTAAGACACAAATTTTTCGTCCTTTTACCTAGTAAAAAAATTATTTTTTTGCTGTGATACTTAAGAATGCAGGAAAGACGAAAAAAAATATCGAACGCCTTCTCACGTCTACATTAACATATCGGGACTTCTTTTCTTTCCTTCTAACGAAAGATACTTCAAAAGAAGAAAAACTCCGAAGAAAAAAAAAACTATACCTGTTAAACAATATACTTTGTCAATGTCAATATTTATTATTTTTTGATCTGTAGGAAATAATTAAATACGACAAAGCATAGAATAATCATTAACATTACAAGTGAATGAACAAAACTAGTTTCCGCATATCGAATGAGTTTATAATCGACTTTCAGTCCTAGAAGAAAAACAAGAAG